CGTCTACCTAAGGTCAAAATCACAACGTGGGTAGGTTAGACTTCAGATCGAAGTAGTTGCTTCGGTAACCAGACATTGGAAGTGAGCTGTGAACGACGGAGCTGGTGTCGAACCTGCTGCATCTGGTGTGAAACCGTTTGAAATCGACCGACCATCCCACTTGGTACCCTGACCAAAGGATCCCGCCGGGTAAGCGACGACCACCGATTGACTGGGACACAGGTTGGTGGCAGCGACAAAGAGTCACCCCCAAAACGCTGGTAGGGGAAATATCACAGTTTCGCGCTGCGACTTGGAGTTGACCATGGGCCGACGACTCAGTGTAACACTAGACTTTATGAAATTCAGCGCAGTACTAGATTGGCGGCAAAATTTCTTTTTACAGTTGAATTGGATAAATGTAACCGTAAGTTCTATGCTAAAAATTTCTTCTCTCTCACTTCTCATTTGTGGAACTCTTTCGACTTCTGTCTTCCCAGTGAATTTTGATGTTCAAAAATTTAAATGCAATGTCAACTATTGTCTTTTTAATTCCTGTTTTTTTTATTGTTCTCACTCATGAATAATATTTTTCTTATTCTTTCACACTTAGTGCTTCCTAGTGTCTTAGTGGCATTATTGTTTTGCTTGAGGTGAAATAGTTAAAAGAAATATACTCCAATGATATCAACGAGCTGCCTGATAAGGGGCAAAAAGTCCTTGCAAATTATGGTGAATATATAATTAGATAAAGTGTAATTGCACTTTATTTTTGAAGTTGATAAACAAAAACGGAAATTATTTATGGTTCAATAATACATCAACTGAAAGACGCTTGTGTGAATGTTATCAGAGATGTTGCTGAAAATATTCTATTCAGTTTCTGGCTAATGATAACTTGTCAGAATACCACTGAATGTACTCAACTCTCCCTCTGTGTGTGTATGTGTGTGTATATATATATATATATATAGATAGAGAGTCTCAATAAAATGTATACACCCTTTAGTTTTTTGGATCACACACACACTATATATATATATATATGATTAATACAAATATAAAATTTGTCATTCAGCTGACTGATGTTATCTTTAGTATCCCGACTCTATAGTTTCGTACACGGACCCTCCAACAATCGCCCTGCCCACTCCTCAGGGGATATCATCAATAATACATACATACACATATATATTATGAAATGCATTAAGTCCGACAATTCTTTAATATATTTTCTGTTTATACGTTATTTTAATAGATACAATTTAAGTAAATGCTGTGTAATTTAATTAAACAGTATTAAGTACATTTACCAGCCCGAATGAAATTTCGTAGAAAAACAGCCATTTGATCTGACATGCTATACCACTTAGCTAACCAGACGCTTCTCTGTAGCTAAGCGCAAATTAATATTTTTAAACAACAAATCTTCGATGATCTATCCCGAACGATTATATCTGCTCACAAAATGTACCTTAACGTAAACAATGACAACATACGAAATGGATTAAGTCCGACAATTATTCAATATAATTTTTGTTTATACGTTATTTAAATTTCGTAGAAAATAGGCGTTCTTCAACAGGAATCGAACCTGTGTCCTGTACGGAACAGTCATATGAATTTAAAAACATTAATTTGGACTTAGCTAATCAGACGTTTCTCTATAGCTAAGTGGTATAGCACGTCAGATCAAATGACGGTTCGTATAGGACACAGGTTCGATTTTTGTTGGATAATGCATATTTCCTACGAAATTTTTCAAACATTCAAACCGGTAAATGTAATTAATACTGCTTAATTAAAAGAGAGCATTTACTTAAAGAAATTGTTTCTATTAAAATAACGTATGAACAGAAATATAGATCTCAAAGTTCTATTTTACCTTTAAAAGCAACTGGCATTAAGTTCAGTGTCAGGATGCACACCTTCTTTATTAAATTCTCCCGAGCACGCAGACCGATAGACGAAATATATACTGTTTAAAATAAATGGAGGGTCTACTCAAATTCGGGTATCCCCTTAAAAATAACGTTTGAAGTAATAAAAATATGTCGGTTAAAAAAATTAGTAATTCTTTAGAAACTGCTTTGTTTACGATTCGGATACAAAACTGAGCAGATATGTTTCGCGTAAAACGTGAACGAGTCAGTGTGCTCTAAAGGCAAAATAGAATTTTGCTTGGTTGAAAAGCTATTCGTAGCCGAACAATAAAAGCACGCCATATTAGAAAGTGGTTCCTCCTGAAAAGGGAGACGCAGTTTCAAATATATATATATATATATATATATATATATATGTGTGTGTGTGTGTGTGTGTAACTATGTTTAAGTGTCTGGCCACCCCATAAATTCTGCTTCGTAATCTTTGTCTATGGAGCTTCATCATATCCTCAAGGTCGTTATCCAGGTTTTCCCAGAATTCTGCACACGCACGCATCTGGTATTCGCCTTTGAGCATTTTTAAAGGCTTTGTCTGTCTGCTTGTTAATTAGGTTTTCTGTTCCGACATTTTTGTCTGCATCATATGGCACAGATTCGTCTCCATTAAAAAAATTATAACACCAGGCAACAATTTACAACGAAGTGCCTTTCTCGTTCCACTTTTCAACACACGTATTATTTGCTTATACAATTTACATGACGAACTATAGACACACACACATACGTACCTTAAATTTATAATTTATTACAAGACATACAAAACGTATGTAATATAATTCTTAAAAGTAATTCAGTGCCTTAAAAAGCCACACTATGTAAAAATAATGTTCTTTATGAATTCTCATGTCCTTTGGAAGATTGCATCTCCAACATTAATAATCAATAAACAAATTTAAATGCTTACATTAGCAACACATTCACCACACCCTCTTGAAGGATGACGTGTAATTTGTCAAAATTTAGTGCAATTCGCGAATATGTAGATCTACATATCACAAACAGCCAAAATGAAATTAACATCGGACAAATTTTAGTAAATAACTTAAAATATTATTTTGGAAAGAAAACTTAAAATTCTAGAAGCTTTTATAATAGATTTATTTTTAATACGGCTTTTTTTATTACTTCGAATGTTATTTTTTTAGTGGATACCGTGTTTGAAATAAACGCACCTTTTCTTTTAGTTGACATAGTGTGTATTACGTCTAACGGCCTGTGCATTTGAGAAAACTTAAAAATAACGTACTCTTTTGCAGAGTTCGAAGCCGCGTGCGCCTTTGTAGGAGAAACCACCATTGGTGCTGACTAAAACATAACAGAACAAACGGTTGTAGTACTAGAGTAGAAAAAAAAAAACTTTGGAAAGTTGGCCATTTTTAATTCTGACCTAAAACAATTTAATCGAAAATTCATAAAACCAAATAAAATAAGACATTGTCGGTATTTTTCAATAAAACTTATATATTTGTGTGTGTGTGTGTGTGTGTGTGTGTGTGTGTGTGTGTGTGTGTTTCATTGAGTCATATAGAGATATCTATTTTTATAATGATCTTTTTCAGTTGTCTGATCAGTTTCTTGATGTTAAAATGAAATGCATCAAGAGAGTTTCAGTAGATTTTTCCTACGAAGTACTTTCGATCTCTTCCAAGATCATCGTCCGGAGTGAATTACAACAAAATTATTGTAAATCTGATAAAATTTTAAAATAATTGTAACAGGGAGCTTTCACGCGTGTTTTTTTTTTTTTTTTTTTTAAATCACAATGAAATGCAGATTTTATCATAGTTACAATAAGTTAGAAAAACTTAACCGCAGTACCTTGTCAGTCATTTTTAACGAAATTATATACACACACACACACACATATATATATATATATATGTGTGTGTGTGTGTGTGTGTGCGTGTTTTAAGGTATGCTAAATTTACGGGTTAAAGTGCTCAATATCAGGGCTAGAGCGTATGCAAATAGAAAAGTAGACACTGAGGTCAACACCCAAAGGCGACAGTCTGTTTTATAAAAAACACAATCGTTAGGCTTGACGATTGCTTTTTAAATATGAAACAGACTGGCACCCCGCTGGGAGTTTGATTTCAATGTCCTGACGATATATATATATATATATATATATATATATATATATAAATAAATGGTGGTACTCAGCTTGGAAAAAACATCCCCAAAAAATGTAAACCCCAAAACGAGTAAAAAAGACAACGACGTAAAGTGCTTGATAGACTAAGTAGAGCGATAAACTAAGATAATCTTAAGGAGCCAGGCAAATCTACCCAGGTTTCACCTAAACGGATCTTCAGGGTAAAGCCGGCTCTCTCTCTATATATAATATATAAGTCGGTTGTATATGTAGGTCGGGAGAAAGTTAAGGGGAATTTAAAAAAAAAAAAGAAATGTTTATTTCCGGTTCCTTATTAGAGATCCGGATGCGTGTTATTTACGATAATTACCTCTACACTGCATTTTTATTTATACTGGATGGAAGAAGTGTGTAATATCGATTTGTTTTTACGGCTTACCAACACTTTGTCGGCAATTTAAACCCAAAACATGGATTGTAAGAATAATTCTTTTTATGCGAGTGAATAGTATATTAACCATTTTTTTTGAGAATAACAATTATTTTTCTAGATACAACTCTCACTATTTAACCCATAGCTGGAGGGAGGAGATGGATTCATAGCTTTCACGAGAGTATTTGCACGTAAATGAATGAAACGAACTCAGCTGAAATTCGAAAACGCCTCTCCGATTTCTCATACCGACCTGGTATCCATTACACCACCTGCACATAATGAGGAAAGAGGGCTTGGAAAATCTGATACCCACAAGCCAGATTGAAGGCAAGAGGGACAGAAGAAAACAGCTCATAACATATTTAGTGAGCTTGTGTAAATGGATGACAGGATAGGGTTCAGGAGAGTGAGCAAAAAGACAAAAAAGAGCTACAAAGGATAGAAAATAGTGGAGAGCCATGATCCTCAACGCCCTGAAGAGAAATGGAGAAGAATTACAACTGGAAGGTCTTAAATGTATTGATAACAACAAAGCCGTTACACTTACTTGTGTCCGATTTCATGCGCTATAGTCAAAGCCGTGGTGAGTCCAGTGTCTTCATTGACCGTACAACTCCGTGCACGATTACACATGCCTTCAATTGGAGCGAATCCTACAAAATAAATACTTTCATATTATATACTACATTCATGGTAATTCTTCTGAGGAACGTTCCTCTATGGCACCTAGACTTTACGAATTTAAGCGCAGTACTAGTTTGGCGGCAAAGTCTCACCTTTTACAATTGAAATGGCTAAATGTAACCGTAAGTTCTATGCTAACAGTTTCTTCTCTCGTACTTCCCGCTTGTGGAACTCTCTTCCGGCTTCTTGCTTCACAGTCAGCTTTGAGCTTTAAAAATTTAAATGCAGTGCCAATCGTATTCTTCTGTCCCCTTAATTCCTGTACTTTTATTGTTCTCTCTCTTTAACAGTTTTTTTCTCATATTCTCTAACACTCAGTAACCTCTAGCATCTTAGTGGCTTTAATGCCTTGCTTGCGGTGAAATGATTAAAAAAAAAAAGGACAGTGTATCAGAGTTGGTTAATCAAATTTAGACGGTTACATTGCAAACGACAAAAGACGACAATGTCGTCGCTTCCCTGTCTGGATAAGTACGCACAAGTTATCTGCCCTTTTCCGTATGAGGGGAAAAATATAAGATGGCGAATTCATCTTGGTTATTCGAAAATATGGCAAATCGAGAAAAATTAAATTGTGCATGAAAAAAAAAATCAAAACAAAACAAAAAAAAACTTTTTTTGCCGATATATAATGTATGTATGAATTTCAGTATCTGTCTATATTTCTGAGATGAGGTATTGTAACTATTTACACTATTTACATTGTTCAGACTGTTGTCCTCGACTTTATTGTCATATTCAGGACGTTTCGGTCGTTGTACGCTCCGGCTTTCTTCAGGTTTTATACTTTGGAATTTCGATCCGAGGACTTTATTTCGTCCACCGGCTCAGAGTGTTCAAGTTCCTCGGGCCATGCCTTTTCTGGATATCTCAGTCTCAGTTATTTCCCCTTAGTACCTCAACTTTCATTGTAATCTCACCAAGTTTTTGTTCACCTCTGCTGTAGCCAGGAATTGAACACGCAACACTTTGGGTCAAGTCACTGGATGGCTCAGTGGATAAAAAGCATTGGTTGAAGTAATCCAGTAACTTGAGCCAAGGAGTTGCGAGTTCAATACCTGGCCACAGCAGATGTAAACAAGTACTTGGCGGGATAAGTTGAGGGAAATAACTAAAACTGAGATATCCCCACCAAAGGCAGCCCGACCAATGTAAATAATATAAAGGAATTTCAGTGTATCTATGATATCATCTCGGTTTCTTCGTATCTATCAATCTATGTAGATCTGTACATGTCATTTTTTATCTTTCTTTGCATATATCCTTGTTCATATCAATTAATCTCAGTCTGCTCATATCTATTATATGTCTAATGTAAATGCATTGCTAATGGTTTTATTATAGAAATGTATTTAAAATCAGGTTAGTAAGGAATTGTCAGTAATCAGTAATGAATGCAAGTATTACTGATAGAATAGGGCTATTATATGTATAATGTAAATGCATTGCTAATGATTTTACTATAGGAATGCATTGAAAATGAGGAAGAAAGGGATTGTCAGTGGTCAGGAATGAATGCAAGCATTACTGATAGAATAGGGCTATTATATGTATAATGTAAATGCATTGCTATTTTATTTTACTATAGGAATGCATTGAAAATCATTAAGACAGGGATTTTACTATAGGAATGCATTGAAAATCAGGAAGACAGGGATTGTCAGTAGTCAGGAATTAATGTAAACATTATTAATAGAATAGGGCTATTATATGTATAATGGAAATCATTGCTAATGATTTACTATAGAAATGCATTGAAAATGAGGAAGAAAGCGATTGTCAGTGGTCAGGAATTAATGCAAGTGTTTCTTACACGATATTGTTATTGGATGTATGATGTAAATGTCTCGACATATGTGTATCTGCATTCATTGAAACCTTTCTTGTTACAAAACCTGTACCTATTCTGGACAGTCGACCTTGATTGAGCTTGATTAGAAAAAGATCGCTTACCGAGAGTGTCACACGGCTCGTCCTTGTAAGAGCAAATATCCGTTCCTGTTAGGAGTATAGCATGGTCGTGTTGTCGGCCGTTGGCCCCAACTAAAACAGATTGCCAGGAGCAAAAACTGTTGAGGATATTGTCAGCATGGTGTCCAATCTTCAATCCAGGCTGGAAAAAATAATTCAGACATTCAGCATGGCCAAATATAGACAGTTACAGACTGAGATGAATACAGAAATACAAGATTAATTTCCCAAAGACGAAATGTTCTTATTCTTTTGCTATTTCCATAGCAGATGTTCATACAAGCTACGTGCCTTAGTCTCATCAGACTAGACCTTCACAGCTAGGAAGCCCATAACACATACACATGGTAAACTCATCCTAATTCCCTTTGTATTCCACTGGTAAGGAGAAAGTTCCACATCTTTCCCGGAACTGCTACTTTGTGGAACAGACTACCGAAAGGATTCTTCCGTGATTACTACACTCAATCTCATGAGGTCAGCAGTTATCTATCTTACGTTGGTTGGCTGAAAGGTTCATAGGCTGACCATGAAGGAGTGATGCTAGAACCGTTAGATCCAAAACTTGGGCCATCTTCCAATCTCTCCCTTTCCCGCCTAAATTTAGCTGCCCTCTTTAACACGGTTAATAATGCTGGAACGTTATCCTCTAATGTACAAACCGTGTCAGCATGAATATCCTTGTGTGCTAAACCCTTTTTTCTGCAGGTACTTGAAAACACTCCTATGCCAAATTTTACTCTTTCTCAAGAAATGTTACTACTAGTTATTTCTGAAATATTCTTTGAACAGTTCGATGTCAGGTTAGCGGTAAAGAAACAATGCAGTTAGTAGCAAAAGAGTTGAAATTTGTTATATAGGAATAAAGTGTCGCTGCCGACACTTTAGTTTGAACATAAATCGCCAGCGAGCAAACACAGGCGATCCCATTATTGAATTAATTAGACCAAGTGACCATAGAGGAAACGCATAAATAGCAAGTAGTGTGAAGTTTAATTGATCATCATTCTAGTCTATACTGATTACTATTCACATCTTTATATTTTAGTCTATCCTGTATACTATACGGATCGCTATTTCTAATCTATCCTCTATTACTATACGGACCGCTATTTCTATTATATCCTCTTTTATTCGGACCGCTATTCTCTACTCTTTTCACTATACGAATTACTATTCGAGCGAGTATTATCGAGCAAGTACTATTAGTACGAGTGTTATTCGAAGGCGTCAGACACCAGTATTGTTCAACGGCGTTACTATAGTTGTATCTGCGATTACAAAGTCTCTACTACAACGAGCACTACAAAAGTGACAACGAGTATTCGTTGACATCACAAAAGTGGCAACGAGTGTTCGTTAAGCCACAAAAAAATTAATGCATGCAATATTTCACAGCTCTAGCATCGCTCCTTCATAGACAGCCTATGAACCTTTCAGCCTGTCCTCGTACATATCCACATAAGGACCTCTTATTCTTTCTTCGTATGTCCGCAGAACGTCATTCATTAACGCTCTACATTGAGTAGCTCTTTGGCTTAGTATTAAAAGAGAACAAAAATGTTGATATCAGTGTATTTGGGTGGCACTATTTTAATCCATTAATTGTCATTACTTCTTGGGAAATATAGTGGTGTGATATGGCTACCCGTTGCCTACTCCACGTTTGGGATTCAGGGTTAACCTTCCCCTAGACTGACTACCATGATATTCTAAGAAGAAATGGTTGCCTGCTTTTTAATTCTTTCATGAGTGCGGAGTGAACTCGAAAGACTATGTCGGAATTTTAACCCGGTTCGCCGATTCCATTGTTTTTCCCCATTTTTTGTGCCAATAACAGTTACGTCACTTTCACATCCTGAAGTTGCATTTTTTGATGCTATGTCCCTTCAGAACTTAGGCGATCATGGCTCTCCACAGATTCATTTTCTTTATTATTCCCGGGAAACAGACTGGAGAAGTTTCACCGTTGTCTTCTTCATGGTTTTGAGTTTTTATTCTCCTTGATTGACTGCTAGGCAAGGCTAAAGAGCCGAGTCTAGCCTGTCGGTGGAGAAGGTTATATATCGCGTTGTGGTTGCAAAAGAACCAATGAAAACAATAAATTACTTCAAGTGAGGCGGAAAGAAAATTAGACAAAATATGTTAAAATAGAATTATTTGTATTGTCGATATAGAGGACCATGGTGAAAATGTCTCTTTCTAGGCGAGGGAAACGACCTGGAGGACGGGAGAGACAGTAGTGTTCAAGACTGACGTTGAAGGTTGTCTAGAGTCTGTTGACCCGGGACTACCTGGTGAACTATGTGAAGCAGTCAAGCTAGATATATTTTGTGGGTATTTGTTTTGTGAACTCGTTGTAATGCTCGGAGCCCCTGCGCAGAGAGCGATTTTTTTAAAATTTTTAATTTTGCTTTCGTAGCGTTCACATTCGGCCGACAGGTTTTGTTGTGCGAAGTGAATCAGAAAGATCTAATCTGAAGCAGAGTATAGCAAGAAGAAATGCATTTATGTCTTTCCCTTGGTACTGATGCGAAAATTAAACCAGCAGCCGAAGCTGGAATTTGAACTCTGCTCCCCGATTCGACTTTTGCACATCCTTTGGTTGCATTACGTGACCGAATATGATCTTAGAATGGATC